TGTTCCTCCTCCTCTTCTTCATAAACACATTATAAACCTTGGAGATGCAGCCTCTCGTTGGCAGCTGAAGCTTAATTCTGAGTCACCCATGTGCATTCAGTGTTTACTGGTATGCTTACAGGACTGCAAAACAAGAAAGTACACAAATCGAGAGAAAAGCGAAAGAAAAGCACGAATAACAAACCATTTACAAGCACAGAGCCAAATAAATTTTTACTTGAGAGCCAAAGAGAGGGCAGGGTAAACACAATGTTACTGTTTTTATGACGCACCACTTCTGATGCTGAGAAAGAGTGCAATGGCAGTTGCTGAGTCTCTGGGTCTTTTCTTAAACTCTCAGATGTCATAGCTGAGAACTGCTGTTAAAGGTGACAGGCAGCCATCTGCAGTTCTTGTTGAACTCTCAGAAAAATATAAAAATCTGCCAAGTTTTACATCTCCAGCAGGAGTATTGTAAAAGCAACATATTTGAAATTGGTGGTGGGTGGGGGGGGGGGGGGGGGGGGAGACAAAGAGAACCTGATTATTTTAAAATGTAATGATGGGAGGTTTTACTGGCCGGTGAGCTTACAGTCATGATTACAAGGAGCAAACCTCAAAGCAAGAAGTGTCATGCAGTGCTGTGATTGGATTCTACTACCAGTGTTGCCAGATCTCGCAATAGAAACAAGCAACCAGCTCTATGAAAACAAGCCCAAAAAGAGCCCAAGTGGCAACCCACCACATTGTGTAAAACGGAGGCCATTTTTAAACAGTATAAACATACATTTATCATGGCATTACACATAAATAACAGCAAAATTATGCTAAACACTTTGAATAACATACTTTTAACAACAAAGTCCATACTTACATACATACTTTTAAGTTCTGATTTTAAAAAATGCATTTTGCATATGTAACAAATATGTAAATCATATTTTTTTCTACCTATTTTTAAAAACAAAACATCCTGACATCTGCGTGTGAGTAGAGCCCCCTAGTGGTCGGCCACAGTATGAGTGTTTGTTTGGGAGTGCGCCTGTCGCCTCGCCAACTTGGGAGGAGCGATAAACAGGAAACAGGGGCGTAGAAGGGACAAAATACCTACTACAACTCGTCTTTTGCTTTATTGTGTGGAGCAGGGCAATAATCAACTGGTTTCACTCGGAAAGAAAGTCAAGCCCAAATAAGCAACTTCACGTTCAAAACAAGCCCAAAAAAAAAAAGGCAACCCGTGACTCACAAGATTTGCAAACAACTTTAGAAGAAAACAAGCCTAAAGTCACTTATAATAAGCGGACTTGGCAACACTGGTTGGAACTACATCGTCTGTGTTTTTACTGGGGCTGGGACTCAAAAACCACACCTTCTCAATTCCCCACTTTCTGGCACACTGGTAACAATGGTGCAGCTCATTAAGAGGTGGAAATGCACCTAAAGTTGGTCCGCCAGCCGCACCGTGCTCTAGTTGCTTACAGTGGAGAACAAAAGGAACACTCTGGCTCTGCTTTGTTTGTTGGGCGGGACATTAAAAAATAAAGCAATGGTAGCATGAAGAAGAACATAGTCAGGTGTAAATGACGCCTAAAGATAACATAAGGTAAAACTTTATTGTCTACCCCAATAAAGGAATTTATTCCTACAGTATATCGAACCTAAGCTGTCATTTAAATATAAAACGTGTTCACTAACACCAGCACTGAAGCTAATGACGCAGTCGCCCTGCAACTGGGTAGAAGAGTCTCTGCTGTCTACAGGTGAATGATCCATCCAGCCCACAGAGACCAAATGATGGTTGGAGAGCCAAAATAAGTAAATCCTTGTCTGACTAAATGAACTGAACCTCTGATTAAATGAATTCCAGTGGACCATACCTTCATAATAACATATTTTAACTAATGTACTGATGTTATGTCATTGTTATCATAGTTGTAATCATCATTACTATAAATATATTTCCAAGGTTTTTATTTGTCCCCTTGGGAAAAATGTTGCTTTGATAAAAAAGGGCACTGCAGAACAGAACCACTCAAGACAAGGCAAATGGAACTGTAACAATATAACTATGATAATAATTAAATTATAATAATTACAAATCAAAGCGCAAATATGTTTTTTTTTTTTTTTTAAGTCTGCAAAATTAGCCGTGCATAAATGACTGAATGCTGAGATTTAATAAGCCCATATATAATTTGAACAACTAGAGGGACAAACAGATGTTTGCACATGTTCTGTTTACACAGAGGAACCCTGTTCCTCCTCTGGTCATTTGCTGACCCGCCTACTGGATTGATTGACAGGTTGCGTTGTGGATACAACTCGTGGAAAATAATCAAATAAAATCAACGAGAACTGTAAAAAAAAAAAAAAAAGAGCCTCGTACCACTTTATTCTCGTAATATTGACTTTATTCTCATAATACTACGACTTTATTCACGTAATTTTATGGCTTTTTTTTTTTTTTTTTTCTTAGCGCAGTCCTAAAGCTCTGTTGTAAAGACAAGATAAGATAGAACTTTAGTGCTAATAGTGAAAATTTACTGTATTGCTGCTGCCAGAAAATGACAGAAATTATTGCTTTTAAAGTTTGGGCTTATTTTGCATAGGCTGTAAACTTGCAGTTATGTCCTGTCACCATATTGATGCAAGATAAATAAAACAAAATACACAATTTACCAAGATTTTATAAACACACTGCAGAGGGAATTAGTGTTTCAGACACTGATATTTTGACACAAAACGGTGAATAGTTTCAGATTTCTATGACGTGTTAACAGCTCTACAAAAAGTATTTTTCTCTCCAAAGTAGTCACAGCTCAACTTTACTGCATGCTGGAAAATAGATTATTTCATAAAACACGTGCGGTAAAGAGTTTGAAAACTAGTTTATATTGCAATTTTCTTTCTTCCAGCTGTTTTAACTTATTTATGTCGTTAGTATTAATAGCTCAAACTACTGCCACCTTCAACATCTACAACTGTCAAAAGCAGCTTAGACTCTGCTACTTTAGTGTTAATAATACATTCAAGTCATATATAATAATACTGTCAGTCAGAGAGCAAACCAGTACAGTTACAACGCGTTGCTGCTAATATTTATGTAATTCTGTTTCAGTGGGATTTGTCCAACAGAAGTTTAAATCAAGCTGTATTAGTTTCTTATACTCTAAGGGTTTCCTTTAAGTAGAGAACAAAATCACTTTTTCAATGCTTGAGGGCGTCTGAAATGCCTACCAACTAAAACACTGACAAAACAACCATTTCACGTAGCACGAGACTGCTTAGACCTGAAAATGTCTTTTTCAGTGAGCTGTGTGATCTGTAGGGTTACGTTACCTCAGAGTACAAGTTGAGAGTACAGTTATGCAGCCTCTCCATCACCATCTGTACCTACAACATCACATCTCACTGCTTTAGCTGTATTTATTTATTTTATTCTTTCTTTAAACCCTGTTTTCTGGAGAACGACTTTGAAAGCAGGTTTGTTGGTTCCTTGTTGGTTCCCAACAAAGAAATTCATTTGGAAAGATCATCTGGACGGTTTATGTATTTATTTATTTTTGTTGAGATGTTTCGTCCTTAATCCAAAGGACTTCATCAGTCCAAGGAGCCACAACAAACTCAGTTCCACAAGCAGCACACTCCTATCAACAAATCAACAAATTTGACGGTGATACGATGGTTTCTGGGGACCGCCCTCTCCCCCATCGACTCCCCTGAGGCAGCCATAGCCAAAGTGGTTCAAAACATCAATATTCATGCTCAACAATACAGGTAGAAAATCCAACAAAATTCAGTCAGATCATCTGGATGGTTTATTTTTATTTGTTGAGATCACCAGCAGACTGTTTGGTCCACTATGTGAGTGTGCTGCTTGTGGGACTGAGTTTGATTGTGGCTCCTAGGACTGATGAAGTCCTTTGGATGAAGGTTGAAACATCTCAACAAAAATAAAATAAATCATCCAGATGACCTGACTAAACTTTGTTGGATGTTTTACCTGGTTTATTGAGCATGAACTTTGATCATTTGGAAAGAGTTAAAACATCACAGATTTAAACAGCTGTTCTCTAAGTTAACCTCTACTTATCCAGACCTAAAATAAACTAACAACTAATTTCATACTTTTTAACATGTTTACAGACTCTGCAGGAACCTGGTAATAATACATCCGAGCAGTGACACCCATTCAAAGTGATTTTTTTTCTCTCTGCATACCTTATAGGGGAAAAGTGCTACACTGTTTATTCCTGTTAACTTAAGGCTGTTTACCTTTTTTTGTAGATTGGATCACGTTGGCTGAAAGCTATCCACGCCAATCTACCCTCAGGTTTGTACTGTGAGGACTATTATTTACACAGTGAAGGTCACAACTCACAGGGCTGAGGGGAATTTAATTAAGTCAGGGGGATTGGCAGCTCTTGATAAAATGCACACTACTCAACCTAATTGCTTTTTGACAGCTCAGCAGAGTTTGCAGAAAGAAGATATTGGATTAATAAATGGATAACGCTCGGGCTCACCTATCCAAGGCATCGGCACATGACGCACCCACAGCGCACGCCACTCAAGAGTCGGGGACAAGTATGTGATGACATGCCACGCAAATGGGGCTGAAAACATGGTGTAAAATAACTCAGAGGGTGAAATCTTAGCCAGGCATTCCCATGTCACATCTGGTTTGGTACCTCAAGCATTAACAATGGCTACATTCACAGGGGAGTCAGTACTAATTAAATTGCAAATGTAAGTAATTAACACTCGATTCACCTTGAGGCTAAAGTGAGGAATGATCAACAGAGCGTCACTATGTTACATATTTTGGGCTCTACAAGATGTTGGTCAACGGGTCTGCAGATCTTTGTTGTTGGAAAATAATCTTCTGATGTGCAGTGAGGATCTGATGTTATTAAAATTTAAGACAAACAGAAAACTCGAAGCCCAGCTGTGACACCAATCAGTCACTTCGTACAGAAAAGTATTTTTAAAATGAAATAGAGAACAGTAATGTTTTTAACCTGGTATTCGTTGGGCCAGAAGGTGCTGACAGCCAGCTCGACCTGGTGCCACTGTTTGCCGTGAGACCCCGAAGTGTTCCACGCAGGGTTTCCGAGCGGACCACCGTTGACTCGCACGTACGCTCGCAGGGCCCCGGGACTGTGGCCGTCGCGGCTGTACAGGAAGTAGCTGAACTGGACGCAGTGCGTGTCGTTTTCACTCAGCGTCTGCAGCTGCAGCTGAGCACGATGGCCCGCGGCATGCTGGGAGGAGTTCACCAACATATAGGAGCCTAAAAGCAGCAAGAAAACAGGACTCGGTTATAGTTTATCGAGTTTGCCTAAAAAACATTCACTTATTAGTACCTTATCTGAAAACCAACAACAAGTTCTGAAACTCAAAGGGAGTTGTTTTAAAGCCAGTCCTTGAAGATTCACACTGGGCTATTTTCACCCATTAAAACAGAAAAGCGTTCCTCTCACATTACAGTTATTTGCATAAAATGTGGTTATTAGCAAACACGTTTCCTGTTCAACCTGGAATTTTGACCCATATTTTCCTATTTAAATACAAATGTTCAGTAATTTCATAGAAATAAATCTACAATGATTTGACTCTTTTACAGGCCTTGTTTTAGATTTGTGCAAACACCAGGCAAAAGCAACTTCACAAGACAACAATAGGTAATAGGGATGTGCAATATGGCATAAAATTCACATCACAATATATATTGTGAAGGGTGGCGATAACGATATATATCACAATAAGTTTTTGGTATATAACTTGCAATAGGAATGAAAAAAAAAGCATAGGGTGTCATTTTTCCATTATTTATTTTGAAAACGGCTATACCACAAAATATTCTCAGTTAAGAAATTTCCACCACTAGGTCCAGTTTTTAAAGAATAAACAAATCAAGTATTAGGCTTCTTTCTTGTAGTGCAAAACAGTGCAAAAGATATCAAATGTAGTTTTAGTCATGGGTTTAAACAAAAAAAAAAGTTAACTCTTAACAGTTTCCAGTATTCTCATTTAAGAAATGAACAGCAATGAAAACACGTCACCCTCCAACCCTCGAGTGGCCGTCTCTTTCCACTTTAAGGAGAGCTGACACAAAATGGCGACCAGTTTCTTATGTGGCTTTGACCAGGGGGTCTCGCAGTAAAATCATACAACACAGTGTTCTTTTCACAGATCAGAGAGCAGGTTTAACCCTTTTTTAAAGTACAAATGCACTCTCTAAAGCTGACCAACAAACTTTCGAAGAAAAAACTTCTGACGGAACACAGCGTTTTGTGAATGCATCCGAATACAAGTACGGCAAGCCGGCCGTAGTTAGCTTGTAGCTTCGCTACTTAGCTCTCAAAGAAAGGACTTCAACATCACTTACACACAGTTTTCAACTCAAACAGTGATGATTAAATCTGACAACTGATTTTACATCAGACACAACATTACTGCGGTTAGCCGGTAGAATACAGATCTCTATCATACGCTAAATGTCTATCGTTTCTATTGTGTACCGTATTGCGCATTCCTAATGGGTAACACTAAGGCCTCGATTTCCTTACTTTGGGGAAATCGTCTGATACTTAGATTGAAAAACTGATTTTGTCGATTTTTTTGTTTTAACAACAATTGTCTGAATGTCATTTATATTTCAGAGCACTACTTCATGTCCAGTTAAAACAAGTTTGTATTGTTTCTAGGATATTGCTCAAGGGTATGTTTTTCAATAAATAAGATTGGAAAATTGAAGGTGCATCGTGACCTTATAACACCTGACAATGTCGCTTATAAAATCGGTATTGGCCAAAATCAGAATCAACAGGTCAGACTTTTTATAAATCGGTGATCAGACAGAAAACGGCAATCGGTGCAGCCCTAGGTAACATGAAGTAGTCTCACATTTGGCTAAGGAGTTGGATCTAAAATTGTGAGGGAAGTGACCATTTTTTTTACCTGCCCTATCACCTAGGAAACATTTATCCATCAAATCGTAGGAGTTATACAAATGTGAACAACTAAAAAGACAATATAGTATTGAGTGTACTGTGAAACTCAAGATTTGGGTTAGAACATCTGATTTGTGAGACAAAATTCCATTTCTATACATTTTAAGTACGGTTGTATGGAAAGTTTGTTTGAGCAAATTATTTTCAAGAAAATTATTTTATTTGTAAATTTATAATTGTATTTATTTTTTTAGAAAAATGACACAGGGAAATGTCTAGAAACATAAATTATGTTCCAAACTTTATGTTCTCCTTTCCACAACTGTTCCGACCTGGAACATCCTACAATCACATTTCATTATTTCAAGACTCTTGAAGACCAGAACCCAGAATAACCCTGTAATGCAAAACTAAAGGGCAGTGTGAAGATTTACAAGTGTTTGCATGATCTACTGTGTGTTTTTTTAAACTGTAGTTGTTTTATATTGGGGGGGGGGGGGGGGGGGGTATCTGTGTTAATGTTGTGTCAATTTGTGGTGAACTGAAAGTGTTCCAATGTGGGATTTCTGTTCTGCAGACTCCTGCGAACCAAAGCAACGTGTCACAAAGAAGCAAATCTGTTTTTAACAACTAGAACGAATCAGTAAGACGAAAGATGAAACTATCATCTGACAACTCACTGCTGCGTGAGGGCGGGTGACAGAGAGGAAAAAGAAATGTGGTCTTGTCGAATGTGGGGACACAATCGCTTCTGATGGGCTCTCATGAAAACTGGACAGACGAGGTCGACGTGTGAGAGATGGAGAAACAAACTAAATGACTGAGCAGGGGGGAAACTCTGATTGCCAGTTTACCTCTGCAAGGTGACAAGGTGGAAGGAGACGAGATTCACAACCCCTCTCCTCCTCTCCAAACCTCCTCTAATCAGGATAACATAACCCCATTGGCCTTTACCAAGCATCTGTCCTGCCTCGAGTCTGTGCCCGCTAACGTGATTAGCACAACAATGTTCGGAGACCTTCCTGTGTACTCACATAATCAAGTCTGTTGTCTTTGTACACCAAGGTCTTTCTGTTCTGTTTTTTTTTTCAGTCAGAAATGAGCTCTAGAGAACAGACAGTAGCAGCCTCGGCGCCAGGTGTCCTGAAGACATTTCTTTTCCACTCAGATGTAATAGCATGCGAATGGTGACTCGTCAGAAACACTTTCTACATCCCACACAGTCTGCACGTCTAATTTGGGAAGCTTTCCAGACCAAAAAATAAATAAATAAAAGTGCTCGCATTGAACTTCTAAATTCGTTCACAGCCTCCGAGAAACGCGCTTTAACAGACGTGCGATGAGATATGAGCACAGAACTTTTCAGCTTTTGTCTTTTATCTCCACTGAGTGCCAAATCAGACACTTGATGGTCCCATCGGCCTCATCACCAGACACTGAAAGAACACTTAATGATCTCTTTAAGTGCAAATAAGACATAAAAAGGTCTAAACTCGCAGCTTGATGCACCGAGACAAAAACAGAAAAAAAATACTATCACAGAAAAGTGGATTTGTCGCAACGCTCCATTTCTGTTCACATCACTGTCAAAAGTTCCTGGTTTGTCCAACAATGTTCAGTCAGGTCATCTGGACGGTTTTGGATGAAGGATGAAACATCTCACCAAAAAAACAAACCATCCAGATGACCTGACTGAACATTGTTGGATTTTTACCTGGATTATTGAGCATGAACTTTGGTGTTTTGAACCACTTTGGCATGACTGTCTCAGAGGAGTGGACGAGGGAGAGGGCGGGCCCCAGAGGAGAGGATGGGCCTCCGAGGCCATATTAGCACCAGTAAACTGTTTCTTTGCACTATCGAGTATGCTGCTGGTGGGAATCAGTGTTGTTTGGTGGCTTCTCGGATTGAGGAAGTCATTTGGATGAAGGACGAAACGTCTCAGCAAAAAAGAAATCGTCCAGATAACGTGACTGAACATTGTTAGATTTTATACCTTGAAACTTTGGCGTTCCTGGTTTGTGTTTTGGTGTTATTGTTTTACTTTGCTTGATTATTTTGAACGCTTAAAATCCAAAAGGAATGACAAGAAACCAGGCTTTTGGATTCAGAATGACAAGACACAAGAGTAAAAAATTAAAACAGTTGTATTTATAATTGCAGCTGCAGCCAGGGAGAGGATCCAGAAGTGGTAGGGTCGTGATCCAGAAGGCAAAGCAGGGGTCAAGCATGGAGAGTCAGAGTTCTTTAAACAGATGCAAGGGCTAATCCAAAATCCAGAGCCAAAGGGCCAGAAAAAGTTGTCGTACCAGAAGGGCAGAGCAAAACCAGACGAGCGGCAGGCAGAGAGATGAATCCAAGAGGCAGGCGTGAGGTCAATAATCCAGAGAGCAAGGCATGAGGTCTAGGCATGAAACTGTGAAAGTTTGAAAATTAGGGACCATGGAAGGTGTAATAATCTCGCCCTGGTGGAGAGGGAGAATGGATCTAAAGGTGCATTAACACCAGCCCTGTTTAGTCCGCTTTAATCGAATTCTAGCTCGTTTTCCTAGAAAGTCCGGTTCGTTTGGGGAGATGTGAATGCGCCATTGAACTCTGTCACGGAACAAAAAGGCGAACTCTGGCCCGGGCTAAAACCTAGGTCTCGGTCCGGTAGAAGAAAACTCCAGCGCGGTTCGAGTACAGTGTGAATGCAAACAGACCGGGCCCCGCTCCACAAGCAAGAAGTGGAGTACAGCACAGGGCAAACAACGCATTTCTCTGACCTTATATGAAGCCGTCAGCTGCCTTGTGTGAAAAACAATATTCTCCATGGTCTTCTGTCTCATCTTCTGCTCATGCTGAGTCCATTTTTGAAAAATTACAAAATATAACTCCTAAAACTGCTAAAACTTGATGCCACTCCGTTTTTGGTTTTATTTCCAGAAGAAGAAGAAGTGTCTTCAGAGGTTTTTGTGTCGTTTCTTTCAGTAGTTCTTGGTGCAGCGCCCCCACAGGCGAGCGGGGGAATAGGTTGGTTCAGCAGGTTGGCTCGACTGCACAGTGCAGTGTGAATGCAAACGCACCAGCTCAAATGTAAACAAAAGCTCATGAATATTGGTCCCCAACCAAACCGAGTCTACCGGACTATCAGGTGTGAATGCACCCTTATAAAGGGTGCAGAGCAGGTAAACTAGATGAGCTGAAGCAGGTGAGTGGAATCAGGCCTGATTGCTGTGATAAACAAGGGAGGCGTGGCATGGCTTGGAAGGAATAGGCTTGAGCTGAAGATGGGTGCTAGGCATTACAAAGCAGGGGAAGAAGAACTATGGCATGAGGGCTGAAACAATAGCAGGAGGGAGAGAGTGTGAGACAGGGGCC